CCACAGAAAGCAGAAGGGAAGCTGTGGAGGGTCAAGCCGGACCAGTCAAATTTGAAGCTCTGATACAAAAGCTGGAAGCTAATGCTGCAGAATCAGCTGAAATTCTACAGCTTTGAGCCCCCACAGATGCTTGAAACAAGAAGAAGAAGAAGAAGAAGAATCATTTCTATAGCACCTCTCAAGATAAAAATCACGAGGCACTTCACAAAAACAAACAAATGTAAAAATATAAAAAAGCATTTAGAAAATGTTTAAAATTATTTTTAAAATGAGCAAAAATAGACAATTGTGATTAAAAAAATGTTAAGAAAGAGAGAGAGTGAATAGGAAAGAGGGAAATCAGTGGATCATGAGGAAGGTGGAATAGGTGGGGAGAGTAGAATAAAGAGAGAGTGGTGAAGAAGGTCATACAAAAGCCAGCTTGAACAAGTGAGTCTTCGGCTGCTTTTTAAAGGAGACCACTGAGTCCACTGATCTCAGGCTCAGGGGGCCACAGCAGCAAATGATCTGTCACTTTTGGTCTTTAGCCTGGTGCACTGCACAACCAGTAGGCTTTGATCACTGGAGCTCAGGGACCTGCTGGGGGTGTAGGGACTAAGAAGATCACCAATGTAAGATGGTGCTTGTCCATGTAAGGCCCTGTAGACCAGAACCAGGATCTTGAAATGAACCCTGAAGTTGACTGGCAGCCAGTGAAGCTGGAGGAGAAGCGGGGTGATGTGGGTGTGTTTGGAAAAAAAAAACATTTACTCAGGGTAAAAACAAGGTCTAGAGTGTGCCCCCTGGTGTGTGTGGGGCCAGAAACATGCTGGGTAAAGCTGAAGGAGTCCATGAGGCTGGAGAAATTCATGGCAAAGTGATCAGAGGGATCATCAACGTGGATGTTAAAGTCGCCAACAATCACCAGTCTGGACAGCTTCACAGTGGAGGATAGAAAGTCACTAAACTCCTGAAGGAAAGAACTGTTTGGACCAGGTGGACGATAAACCACAGCACAGTAGAACTCCTCCAAACTTGTCTTATTTGTGGAGACAAAAAAATCTGTTTGGACATTTCACCTCAGACTGTTTTCCAGTCAGAGGTGAAATGTCCAAATATCAGGATATAAGACTCCAAATCCTACCGTGCTAAGCTCTCCTCTGATGTGGCATTCTGCACCTGAACTGCTCTAAATCTAGCAACTCATGCATGAAAACATTTGCACAAAAAACTACTATATATATAATGATAATCAATGTAGAAAACTGATTTAATTACCTTTTTATTTTTTACTAAATATTTAAACTGGAGGAGCAACTATTGTTGCTGCATTATCACCGTCCAAATATCTTATATTGGTGGAAACATAAAAAGAGCAAAACTACAGAATACATTTTTGTTCAATAAACAAATAAACACACTTTAAGAGGGAGAAATCTGTATTTGTGTTTTAAAGTAACTCATTGTGCTTCAAATCAGTGGAAGAAGGTAAATGTAGTAACGGGTGTTGCCCACTAGAGTGCACTGCTGTACTATTAAAATGTATGTTTCAAAGTCAGTGAGAAAATAACATTCAGCAGAAAAACTGGGAAAGAAAATGTAATAATGTCCCTAAACGAAAGAATCTGGCAGGAAAACAACAACAACATCGTTTTTTTCTTTATTAAATGTTGTTTTAATTTTTTTATTTGCTGTGTGACAAAATGCTTTTAAATAATCTGCTTCTTATTCAGATGAAAATGTTCCCATTTTAAGATGTTTGGGGACAACACAAGTATGTTTAGTGCCGAAGAAAAAAAATTTCAAAATAAAATAACAAAATAAAAGATGAGCATTATTCAGAAAATTGTTTTAAAATTTTAAGTGGATGAAGGTAATTCACAAACATTCATAAAAAATTCCTCCACTGAGTGACAATAAAGAAATGTTCTATTCTATTCTATTCTATTCTATTCTATTCTATTCTATTCTATTCTACAGGAAACAGGAAAGTCAGGATGAGGGAGACAGCTGTAATCAGGTGTGGTCGAAGCAAGCAGAGGTAGAATCAACTTAGGCATTAACGCACACTTATCTTACCTGTTGGACAACGGCAGAATTATAATCAGAGCAGCAAATTCTTCACAGACAGCTGGGGATCTCAAAGACTCATACCAATGAACAATATATTGCTGTGGCTATCTGCAAAGTAGAGATTTAAATCTTAATGAAAGCCTTTTGTTTCGGTCAGTCACAGAGCCGGCCCAAGGTGAGCGATGGCTGAGGGGCCCCCCACCCCACTAGGGGCCTGCCCAACAGCTCCAATATAGAGTGAGACTTTTAAAAGAAATAAATAATACAAACTAAATTATATTACACATGAAAAAAATTATTTCTGTAGTCATTTGCTTTATATGGAGTCATTTGGTTTTATTTTGGTGATATTGCATGTTTGACATGTTTTATACATCTGTTTCAAATTTTAAGAACAGAAGAAAATAAACTTACTTGTTTACTGTAGTTTCTGTGTTTTTCTGCTGATGTTACTTTCAAATAGTTTACCACACTTAAACCACACTCCACATTTTAAAATGCAAGTTAGAGCATTTCTATTGGTTCGTTAGTAATATGAGGTTAAAATTGATTGCCATGATAAAACTGATATGATGTAAGCAAAATTACAAACAATGCTACAGATGGTGGCTAGGTTACACACATGATGTAGATTATGAGTGATGTTGACTTCTTGGAATGAGGGGTCGCCAAAGGTAAACGTGTTTGGGGCCGGCCCTGGTTTCGTTTAGTTTAATGATCCATTTATGTTCATTAAATCCTGTAAAATATATATGATAAACAATCAAACCTGTGTGACTTCTACATTTTCATTAAAATGTTACAACTCTAATGACAGAAAGTCTCTAAAGAAAGTTTTTTCTTCAAATCTTCATCAACATGAACAAAGCAATATTGGATTTACATTCAGTCACAAACCAATGCAAGAACTCATTGCAGTCCTTAATAATTTATGTTTATGCTATTAAAAAACTAACTGTAAACATGTTAATGAACAGAAATTATAATTAAAGATTGTCTTAATGCATGTAGAAAAATAAACAGCCATAATTTTATTATTATTAACACATTTTTATCCTCAAAATATTCCTGAATTTAAAGCTTATTAATAACTACCCAGTGGTTTACTCTGTAGCATCTAGCAACCCTTTAGTTGCATATTGCAATTTTTGCAAACAAAATGAACAAATGTATTTTTTGTTCCACCCATTTTTATTGTTGTTGCATGCTTAGAAATAAAAACCCAGCACAGTTTGTGCCTGTAAACGGATCCCAGATGGACACACCATAAAACACTGTGAAGCATCCAAACAACCCTTAATGTTGCATAAATCTGCAGCTTGAATGACATCACATAATGCTCCTGCAGTTATTGATTCAACAGACTTATTTGAGGTGAGTGGCAGGATGCAGGGTGTTTATTTATCATACATTTAGAATATGAGCCACTAGGTGGCGCAAGTGGCCCTTAAAATATAAAGAAACATGTTTAAAAGCCACCAAATGTTTAACATTAAAACAATGAGCAAGCTGTTTACAAAATGAACTGCTATAATTTTAGAATTACATGTTTTCTTTTTTTGAGAGCTAGGCTTAAGTTAGGAGCTGCGTTAATATGCAAAAGTACAGTTTTATAATTCACTAACATTCTGAGACACGGGTGGTTTTTAGTCCACACTTCAAAGCATTTCATTTGTCGTGTTTCATCTTCATGATTTGTCTTTGATTCATCTAGTTTATTATGGTCCATGCTTGGTTCTGTACAGTAACACCAGATAAAAGGCTAATAAACATTAATTATAGGGGTGAAGAATACAAATATCACTGCTGGGCAAAATAATGATGTAGAACGACAAGCACACGGTCTCATTTAACATAATTTCACTCGTTTTCAAGTGATGCATTTGCAATAGTAGACTTTTTTTTTTAATATTTTGAGTTACGGAAAGACCCAACTGTTATTGTAGCACGACCCAAGGTGATGTTCAACCCCCAACTTTGGAACCTCTGATGTAAAAACGAGCAGAATCATGAGGATGAACGTAAATAATCATGTTTGCTGACTATATTTGCCATCGGAACCTATATTATCCACCATATCTTATTAATTTCCAGACAGACCAAGTCAAACATCTTTATCATGTAAACCCGTGACCCCCCCGCCCCTTGTCTTTAGCTCTGGGCGCTTTCGCCGCTGGGGGGCGTCGCATCCAGGTACGATTACAGACGCATTGTCGCCTTCCGTGGAATAAAACGGAGAGATATGCTCATGGAAGGCGCCAGGTGAGCAATAAGAAGGCCTATTGATACGGTTCCTATCGTGTTTGCACCTTTTCACAGCGCCAGGCCCGCTACACATTAACCAGACATTACACAAATAAAGATACGCTGCTGATAAACTCAGGACTGAGGTGCAACAAGAGAGAAGGACCAGAGAAAGCCTTCTCACTTCTGAAATCAGCGCTCTCAGATGCACGACAGGCTTTATTTATTTTTTTTCTAATCTGTGTTTTTCTGTTCTGGAACCCGGATTTTCGGCTGATTTGTGTTCCCGTTGAGAGAAGAAAGCCTCAGCTTATCCTTTTATTATAAAAAAAACTGCTACAATATAATGTTTTCGATGGAAAACGTGTTGATTTGTGAATAAATGAAGCGTTAAGAAGCTCAAGGGATTTTAGAAAATTCTGGGTGGTTTTAGAAATTTTAAACAGTCATATTTGAATCCCAAATCTATTAAATCTTTATGAATTATAAGATATATGCAAACTTTAAACGACAAACATTTTGTGATTTGCATTATAATAGAAAAAACAAAAAGGTACATTTTCTGTAATCTTTCTCTTCAGTATTAATCAACTGAATTCGGGGGTAAAAACCTGGGTGAGTCAACCCATGAGCTCCTCATAATTAATCCCCAGTAAATACATTTGATGTAAAAAAAAATAAAAATAAAAAACGATTCACATACATGAGAAGCAGCATTTCAATGTTTTATTGAAATTTTTCAAGAACACAATGCCGATGTTGTAAACTAGACAGAACTCCAATACAACAGAACCCACAGACAACTTAAGAAACACGCAGAAAAATAAAGGAACCTTCATATTTTCGATTATGCGGCACTTTAACAATTAAGTTCGCAACATATTTTAAAACAGGTAAAACGTTTTTTTCACACTTCAACACTTCTCAAAAAATAAAAATAAAAACAGAATGAAAAGAGTTGTTTTCTTTTTATTTTCAAGCCATGGGTGCAGCAGTGCGTTTGTCTCTTTTCCATTTCAAACAGTAGCACTTCTCACACAGGAACGAGTGAAAATACAATGGCACATGAGGGTGAATATCTGCGGAAATCTGAGGAGAATTTATCCGTAATTTGATGAGAATATAAACAAACAAACAAACAAAAAAAAGAGGGTAATAGTCCACAGATCTTTACACAAGTATATCGAGAATAAATTAAGAACAAATCCCTAAAAACAAACTACTCCGTCGTATTTACACGCAATAACAATATGAAATAATTACATAAATACTTTTATATATTCATATTTACACGATGATCAATGCTACCTCTCGTTTTCTTTCCATGTTTTCTCTCAACGTTTAACTTTCTGCTTCCCTTTGCCTGTTTGGGTGAAATTACGCATGCTTATAGTTTCGTCCAGGAACTTTTTTATGTTTCCAAATAAACAAAGAAAAAAAAGTTTTAAAATAAATAAAAACGAAATGTATGCAAATATTTCCTCCCCTTTTTTACATTTTAGTGGTAAAATAAGTTTATTTTTCCAAGAGGGCATGCAATTATCGATATCCAATTAACTCAACGAGATAATACAGCAGTCTTTGAAAGGTATGTTGAACGAGTGATTTCAAATTTTATTCAGAGTGCATATTTTCAACCACGGAGGCTCGTTTCTCCTGACAGGACAAGCAGCGTCTCCTGATCTGTGCGTCACGCCACGCCAACGTCTCAGTTTCAATACTTGTACGGTATTCAAATGATATCTAACAAATGTTGTTTAATTTAACAAAAACAAGGGAAAAACGAGAGAAAAGAAAGAAAAAGAAACAATATTTAATGTGTGTTAAACAAAGTGCATATCAGAAACTAAAATTGTTCACGTTTTTAGCTTTTTTGTTTTTTTCTTTTAAAAACCTGCAGGATTCCGTCCGCATCCTCCTGTTTTTGTCTCCCATCGTCATTCAAAGAGGCAGAACTTCAGACCTTCTCACGGAGAACCGCTCCTGGGCCTGTCCTGGTTCGAGTCCAGTCCACTAACCAAGCGCTGGATGCTCTGCAGCTCGTTGGCGGAGTCCTTCTCAGTGCACGTTTTGGGGGACGTGGACACGGAGCCGGAGGACAACGAGTGGCTGGTCACCTCCGATGTGGAATCCAGAGTGACAGCAGACACGGGGCTGGCAGGAACCAGGCCGTCCGATTTCAGATCGCCTCCGGCCACCAAGGAAGGCATGGCTGTGGTGAGAAGAGTGCTGTCCGGTACCGTCATGGGGAGGGAGTACGGGCTGTACCTGAGTCGGGGACGCACTGCGTTCAGGAACGGGTGTCGGTGCACCGAAGAGGCGGCGGATGAGGCAGCCGCGGCTGCAGCCATGTAAGTGTAGGGATATGGGAACAGACTACCAAATGGAGACATTGCGATGCCCTGCGGGTAAACAGAAAGTGGTTATTGGTCATAAACGCATCCAAATGCGCAAAAATAATGATAATCCGATTAAACAATAAGTAGATGTGCTCAAAGATCCGACTGCGGCTGCAGGATTTTCTTGTCTTCCTGTGCTTTTATTTTCAAAATTTTCACAAATCTGTTCTGCAAACACACACACACACACACACACACACACACACACACACACACACACACACACACACACACACACACACACACACACACACACACACACACACACACAATAATAATAAAATAAACATCCGCAGCAACGATTTGCCACCTTCTAAGTAAACAAGGCTGCTGCTTGCTCAACAATTTGTAATGCAAATAAAGATCCCTGTTGCTGCCTTCAAAGAGAGAAGCTGCAGCTATACTTGTTTTGACAAGAATGGAGGAATATGCACATTTGTAGCCCTTTAAAACATGGTTTTGATCCCCCTCTCGCAGCAAGTGAGGCGTTTTAATGCACCATATCTCAAAAACACAAACTTAATAAGTTCATAGAACCTCGAGCTGTTCTGGTTCATTTAGTCAGTTCTTTATAAGAAAAGTCTTCAGCACAAACCCAAGAAAATTCCCATAAAACGTTTGTTTATAATAAAAAAACATTCAGATAAGATGTAATAAATCTGTTCTGCTTTGGGTAATAAAGGACACATGCAAACAAGCACACGGCTGGGTTACAAACACAAACACTTCGAGCTGCAAAAGTTTGTGCATCAGCATGCAAAGTTTAAACACAAGCTCCATGCTGTCTGGTGTTCTGCAGCGCCACTGTGCACACGCTGTAAAACTGGAAGGAGGCCTCTCCAAACAAAACGGGGTTTACCTGTGATGCCAAGACATGCTGCTGCAGATGAAAGGGCAGGCCTTGCGCCCCCGCCAGGCTCTGCGGCGGCGATGCCATGCTGCTAGTGTCCATGGTGCTCACCCCTCCAGAGGACACCGCTGCCAGCAGGGGTCCCATGCCTGCGGCCATGTTCGAGAACGCACCGCCCATGTTGAACTGACCGGGATGCAACAGGAACGGATGCGCGCCCCCGAGGTGGTTAAAAAACTGCTGTCCTGTCAGGCCCGGTGGGAATCCGAAGTTATGCAAGTGGTTGTGGCCCATGTGCGCGCTGTCGGTCTGAACAGTCAAAGGCATGAAGCTGTCCTTGCTTATTGACCTACATTCGTCCGTTTTGGGCTGGTCCAGGCTCGGGCTCTTCAGCTCTTCTCCAGAGCGCGTGGTGCTGGAGATGACCGTGATGGGACTCTGCCGCGAGTCCGCTTGGCTTTTCTCAGTTCTCGGCCCGCTGTCGCGGATCCTGCCGTTGGAGTCGCTGCCGCTGAAGGCGTGGCCCTTAGCGGGGCTGGCCTCGGGATCCTTCCCGTCCCCCGTGGTTGTGGAGATCTTGCTGGAGTCCGGACCGTCTTTGTTGTGTCCGTCTTTGCTCTCATCGTCGCTGTCATCGTCGCTGTCGCAGAAATCTGCGCAGAGGAGGAAGGATCAGAATGGGAAATTAATTAATTAAATAAAAATAAGTTTGTCATGTTTTGTTTGCAGATTTTTGCGCATCTGAGGTCAAAACATATCATTTGTTAACAATTCATACATTTCCCCACCATCTTTATTTTTAATTTATTTGTTAAAAGACACAGATTAAATCCACGAGTTTAAAAATACAGATTATGAATATTTAGAGCTCATAATAAATGCAGACCTCACTTCAAAAGTTTATTCTGACAAAGTTCCTGCGGTATAAACACCGAGGCATTGTCCCATTCCGCTAATTTAACAGTTTATGGTGAAATCTGGGGGGTCTGCGGCAGCCTACCTTTCAGGTGTGGGGGGCCCACCGTCGACACGGCGGGGGAGGAGGCCTGGGCGAAGCACTTAAAGGAGGCCTGCTCACCGGAGGAGTCGTCTGAAGCGCCGTTCTCCTTTTTCTGCTGCTCCTCGTAGGAGCGCATGGACTGCAGAGCCAGCTGTTTCCTGTCGCGCACAGTGGCCAGGTTATGGGTTAGTTGGGCCAGAAACAATATCAGCAGCACAATACCTCAAGCATGAGTTTATTTAGGCAAATTATCATTTTTTTGTGCAAATTCAGAGTTTGAATCGAAAGTGAGACTATCGAGTTCCTGGGGATTCATATTTTAGGCTGTGTTTAATCCAAGATAGTCACTCTCTTTCCATAAAACAGATGAGTTTTTTTTCTTTTTCTGGACTCTTTGAGTTACCTCTTTTCCCGTCTTCCATTGCCGGTGTCACGGAATCCTTTGGCAAACGGATTATGATCGATTTTCAGCTGCGTAATCTGGAGGAAAATGAGAATTCGTGCGCAGTTAGTAATATAAATAATCTTGAATCTTTCTGATGTTTTATGGTAGCAAACTTTAAAGTTCTTCATTTATAACTTGAAATGAGTTTTTCAATATCAAGCCAGACTTAATATGTCTAAAACACGTTCAGCAAAACACAAACGTGCAAAATACGTGGAGAGACGTTTGTAACTTTTCTTCACTCATCCTCAACTTTCTGCACACGCGAGCTGACCGAAGTGTTGCCATAATATTCACCACCGAATCACAAAAAAACTGCACTGGTAGTAAAATAAACTTTTACATTTATTTGTTTTTTAAATTTGAGGAGAAATTTTTACCAACTCTGTTTTTATGCCCCTCCCCTTTTGTCCTGTTGCACCCATCTAACCTCACACCGTTCCCCTTTCCTTTTCCCCTTCATATATTTCAACCCCCATTTCACACACACACACACACACACACACACACACACACACACACACACACACACACACACACACACACACACACACACACACACACACACACACACACACACACACACACACACACACAGCCTGTGCCAGATCCTTTTCACGTGATTGAATAAATGAAAGATAACCTGTATAACATTGCCCAGAATTATGGCTTTCCTACCACAAGCTGCTGAATGTGGCACTCACTCGCAACATTTTCACACAAACACACGCACGCACGCACGCACGCACGCACACACACACACCACCCCCATCACCAGCGGCACCCACCGCCTCCAACAACTATGACATCTTTCATATTTTATGATAACAAAACTGCGCAGAGCGTGGTGGTTGGGGGTGGTGGTGGTGGGGGGGTGGGGTGTGGGGGGGATTTGACGGGTGGGTATAAAGTAATAATCAAGCCTACCTTGTCGTTCTGATAAGCAGTCACGGCGATGAAGTCGGTTTCAGGAAAAACGTAGGTCCTGAAGGTGCTGTAAGGCAGCTTGAGAATATCGTTGGCCCTCACGATGTGAAACCGTGGCTGATATTTGTGCATGGAGTTCAGAATGGTCTGCAACACACACACACACACACACACACACACACACACACACAAACACACACACACACACACACACACACACACAATTAAATTTCTAAAAAAATTATTTTCAAAATTCTGTAAATGAACCGAAAGTTAATTTTCTTAGCAAATTTAAATCGCAAAAATGTACAACAATAAATAAATAATAATAACAACACAAATAATCAGATTATGTGATTATATGATAAACAAAAAAATAACCCAACATAATGACATCATTTAAAAAATATTTTAGCTTTTATGTTTAAATAAATAGAACGAATCCACAACACTAAAACATTGCTCTTCTAAAATAATAAATTGATAATAAATAGGGAAGTTGACATACATTAGTAGAACTTACAAATCCGTGCTTGTCGGAGATGTTGTTCGTCAGCTTGAGCTTGTGGAAATTGACGACCTTTGACATCCACTGTTCCCCAGTCGCCGGACTGTCCGGGTGAATGTACATCCTCTTTGGCATTTCAGGGTCGGCCTTTCCTGCCACCATCCAGCGGGAGTTGTGGAACTTGTACCTGCAGTCGTCGGCTGCAACTATATCCATCAGGAGAATATATTTGGCCTTTTTGTCCAGACCGGTACACCTCACTTTGAAGGGAGGGAACATGCGCCTGAAACAAACAAACAAATGCAGAAAAAAAGAGAAAGCTTTAACATTGTGATCAGAAAAGACAGAAAATCTGGTTAAAAAAAAGAATTTTTCCTGCAGGAAACGTTGCAAAAAATGAAAATCCTCGAAATAGTGTGTTTTCCTTTCAGTATACGCTAAAGGAATGCAGTTTTGATTTTTATTGCCTCTGACGCCCCCCCCCCCTCCCTCCACATAGTCACCTCCGCACACTGTCACAGCACGATGACGACAATAATGTAGATCTTGACGCACAGTTTCAATTAATCAAATATTAGATCAAATGTGAGTAACGACCAGGAAACTCGGATTTCTGCACTATTAGGACGAGTGTGTGACTCTTTTAACGCAACGTGAGACATAATGGTCACGTTTTTAATTATATTTGCCATAATTACAGAGATGTTTGCAGAGTGTTAACCACCGAAGGATCCGGCTTATAACCACAACAACCCTCTACACTTCATTCTTAAATTCTGTCATGCTATCCCCAGTAAACCAACAAAAAGGTCAAATTATTCTGGCTCTTTTGGTTTGTGCTGTTTAGTCAAAAATGTTGTTTTTCGTTTGTTTAGCAGCTTTAGGCAATAGATAAAAATCTGTTGTGCGTAAAATGAACCCAAATCAGCGCTAGAGAAAAGGGCTGAAAATATAAAAAGTCAGCTTGTTTTTGTAAAGTTAGAATAATTCACCTTCCGGATTTTGTGATCACCATCTCGGTGCCTTTCTTGTGGAAAAGTTCCCAAAGTTCCTTGGCTTCCAGGTGAACTTTGGGGTCATCCTCCACCTCCTCCTCAGGCTCCAGACTCTTCAGAGGCCTCAAGTGGGCGGCCGCAGCTTGGTGCCCCAGAGAGGAGAAGTGGAGGCCGGTGTCCGCGGCTCCCATCAGCTGGTCCATGATCGGTTTCCCCAAGGCGCCCGGCAGAGACAAGGAGCCGCTGGGAGGCAGCGCCAGGGCCGGGAAGAAAGGGGGCTGGTGACCCAGCATTGCACTCATGGCAAATTCCGGACCCCGGTGAGGTATAAACGGATGATATGCCATACTTGATCCCTGAACGACTGGATCTCTCATCAGGAAGTTCATCCAAGTGCAGGCAACAAATGTAGGCAACAGATCGGATTGAGGAAAATGTTTAGAGCTGTTGTGGACTCTGCAGAAGCGCAACAGTCCAAAAATATTAGTAATAATAAAAAAGAGGAAAAAACGCAAACAGAAAGAACAAAAGGAAATAAGACTCCTCCTTCAGCTCGACACAAACAAAAATCCACAGTTTCTCACAAGTTGTAGAGGGGGGGAAATCTCGGCAGCCCTCTGGTGAGTTCCGATCACTAGTCTGTGGAGGAAAACGCCAAACTGATCCCCATTAATCTTCAGGAGTGCTGCGACGCCGATTTCCCTGCGAGGTTGACGCGCATCGGGACACCTCTCTGTTTCTCTCTGCGCTTTTCGGACATTAGTCGAATTAAAGCAACAGGGCTGAGTCATTTAATCGACTGCGGGTGCATTCTTTTCTCCTCCGCTGCTGTTTACAATATCGGCATTCCTGTTAAAACGGGTTCCTTCTTATTGGCTCCAGTCCTGCGCGGCGAGGGCGACGTGTTGAAATATTTCGATAGCGCCGAATAATCCCCTTTGCCTTTACTCTGCTCCGGACACGCTCTCTCTCTCTCTCTTTCGCACACACACTCTCTCACACACGCACACTTTTTATTCCTCCTCTCTCATCCGCGTGCGCACACACATTTGAGAGCAGGACGTGTGCAGAGAAAGGAGTCCGCTGACGGCCAAGCACAGACAGAGAGAGAGGGAGAGAGGCGGTAAGGTCCCAGCTCCGTGATTTTCCTAGCGCCTCTGTGGCCCATAGGGCTCCACGCAGTGTGGATGTGTTGCGCGTTACGAGCGGCTGCGCTCCGTTTGATTGGCTCTTTCACGCGTTCGGACCAATTGTGTGGCTGCATAGGCGTGGTTCCGACAGGTCGGGTGGAGGGGACAGACTTCAGACTTATAAAAAGGTGTTTGGGGAAACTCAAAAAGGGGCTTTGCCGTGAAACACCACCACCCTGGCTCGGTCGGTGTTGTGTGAATATGTCAACATCGTTCCAGAAGCTGTTGCTGCGCGGCTCGGTCGGTCTGTGAGAGCCGGGAAGGGCGCAGCCGAGGCGGTGAGATGCCCCCCCCCCCCCCCCCCCCACACACACACAGACACACACACACACACACTCCCCCCCGCCCGCGCACCCTGCGCCCTCAGTCTGCGCGGACAGGCTACTTCTTTTCCTCCTTTTCCTGATTTATTTCTCAGTATATGAATTTTATTGTAGCATTTAGGCGACATTTCTTCCAGTAAAACAACAAAATCAAAAAATCATTTAGTGTATTGAGCTAATGCTTGTTTTTCTGATGCAAATGTGTTTTTTATTTATGTGTCATCAACATGTTTGCAACTTATAAAAACGTTTTATCGACAGTGAAAGACGAATGCAGGCAAAAAAGAACATAAAAAAATCCCAGTTTCCACCTCTGGATTATCAATTCATCCATATTTTTAATCTGTTCTGTTGCACATCGCTTCTTTTTCTGACACAAGAAACAGTAGAAGTCCCTGGAACCGTACTGCCGTAACAAACGTGTGTTTCTGGCAACACCGAGTCGATTTGAAACGCTTCTTCTTTATAGGATCTGTGTTATGAACTGGATTACAGCTGTCATAATCTATTTTTCATCCCCTAATATCCAATCCCATGATGATCTGGGCAACAGTAAGTCACTTTTCGTTATTGCAATTGATACGGAGAAAATAGATATACCCCATATATGGCAGAGACTCTTACATGCCAACTCTCTCCCCTAAAAGTTTTAATTCAAGCCCAAATTCACGAGTAAACTAGAGTGGATAAACATTGACCATCAGTTCTCAGTATGCCATCTGTCTCTGTGGATCCAGGAGCTTGAAGGATTTCCCTGTCGTTGCATTTTGCACCTCTCCCGGCAGTCTGATCAGGTTTAAGCAGTTTAAACGTGTGATAAACTTGTTGCACATTAAATATTATAGAGGCGTGTATGGCTTTGAAGTTTAGGGCAGAAACACGTCAGTTGAAGCCTCAGGGCTCGTTCACAAAACCCGCTGAGGTCAATGCTGCACATATGAGGAAGAGCTCCCTCATCGATGTTTTCTTCACGATGTCACGCTGCCGCCTGATTTGTTCTTGGATGTGTGGTCATGTGTGCAAAAACAGAAATGCTCCACAAGTATTGGTGATCTAGGGCAGCAGGGGAAATCCGGCTGTGTGGTATTGAATTGTTACATGCCGCTGATAAGTTTCAGCAACATGATCAGAAATGGAAAACCTCCTGAGTGACTGCACCGAGTCTGAAGCTTTCGGGCCAGCGTGGACTTGGTGTCTTTGCCTGAGCGGGGTCAGGTCTGTGTCAAATACTCTGGCTTCTCCTTCTTTAAACACTCAGCCCCATTAGAAGCACATTTCAATTTAGTGGAAGGTGTCATCAAATAGGAAGCAGTGTTGACACTACAGCTGCCTCTCAGACTCTGTGGCAGAGCTGGCTTTATTAGCTAAGCAAGTAGAGGATGGTCAATACACTATATAAACTTTTACAGGGTTAGGGCTCCCAGGGACTTGGAGAGGCTATAAAAAGGTCTGAGCTGACACGGCTGATTGATGAAGCCAACTTGGTCAGCGCTTCTCTTTTGTGCATCTACTCAGATCATGCCGATCAAAATCAAAAGGGGTAGCGGATTTGACTGGGCAGCCCCTGAAAATGTTTTTCACTCAGTGTGCGTGGGTGGTTTCTGGAACGAGGGGCTTTTATATCTGCCCGATGTGTTAAAGATTCATGCAGGGACTGCATCAGATTGATGTGCAGTAAAATATGTATCTGAATGGTAAATCAACTGATTTAGAGTTATTTCAGCATCAGATGAAGTCTCTTGGCTTGTGTGTGGCTTTCCTTTCCCGACTGCACACAACAGTGACACTGTGTAGGTTCATTAAGCAAGGCTTCAAAGACATTCCTGGAATTGATCATGGAGCTGCAAGTGATGTAATGTATGCTGTCCTGTTTATTTGCAGATTGTTAATGATAAGCAAGGACAGACTTGGTGGCACCACTCCTGAATGGAGGAGATTTTCTGGTGAGACTCATCAGCCCTGAAACGACTTGATAGGGAAAGGAAACATCACCAGATTAGTATATTCAACGAGTGTAATGAGTCCAAACTTCGTTATGTACATCCCGACGCGAGGCGCAGGAGGGAAGATGCTCAATTGACAACATAATGACTTTCTAAATGTGAGCCATTTTACCTCAGAGATGAAGGTGGGGCTGGAATTGATCTGGCGAGGCAATGTCGCTGGGAACAAGAGCTATACACTGCACTTTGCAGAATCACATATGTTTTAGTCAATTGCCTTGAGGAGTGATTAACTCTTTACCTGTCTACGAAACCTCTCTGTCAGGCATTTGAAGTCAGTTCTGTCCTTGCTCTCATCAATTCCTCAACTGGCCAGTTATGGCTATTGATGCAATCCTATTTTAGTTAATTAGGGGATGTGCTTATTGATGGCTGTGGATTGACTTGAGATGGACAAGAAAAACAGTCACATGCTCGGGAAACACTTGCTCCACTGGTTGCAGTTCTTGTTTAACAGTGCAGACACACCTTTTTTCTTTTACTTGTTAACATCTAAAGGAGGACAAGACTGAAGCTTAAGCTTCTTTTTCGAACCTTTGAGATGGAAGGTTCACGATAATCAGTTCAGGAATATCTCAGGCACGAATCATGAGATTCATGTCTCCATTGTATTGTTTGCAGAGGTGTAAAGTTTGCAGGGCACTGTAGGGTTAGGGCTTTTTCAGGCCGTTTGGATACATTCATGATTTTCTTTACTCCTCTTTACTTAAATGAGGTGGAAGGAGGTCTAGTGGCCATATATTTCAATAATAAGTGGAAAATTTGGATCACTTACCCCTCACACACACACACACACACACACACACACACACACACACACACACACACACACACACACACACACACACACACACACACACCACCCAAGTGGTGCAGCGCTAGGACCAACTGGGCTGCATGGTGGCACAGTTGTTAGCACTGTTGCCTCGCATCACGAAGGTCGCAGGTTCGAAACTCGGCTGTGGCGTTTCTGCGTGGAGATGCGTGTTCTCCCCATGCATGCGTGGGTTTCCTCCGGGTACTCCGGTCTCCCCCACAGATCACAAAATGCCCTATAGGTTATAAATTGTAAGTCGCTTTGGATAAAAGCATCTGCCAAATAAATAAACATAACATAACAAGTCATTTGCGACCCCCTCACTTTGGAGATCAACATTACTTCCTTGGTTTGGCTACTAAAAACTTACAGTAATGGTTACACATGAAATAAAAAGATCGCCATTGTTTGTTTTTGCTGGAAAAAATGAATCTGGTGAGCATCTATATGCAAGTATATGGTCGGGCAGTGAGCCAATGAAGCCAGTAGTGAAGCGAACTCTATTGCTGTCTTGCTAACTGTCTCCGTACACAGTTGCAGCACTAGGACCAACTGGAGCAACGTATTCATCACTATGGCAGTCAAGCAATCAGGCAACAGGGCAGACCACCATTTGTCAAAGAAGTGGAAGAAGCAGCAAAATCATCTTTTTTCGCTCATGTCTCAAGGAAAAGCCCAAGTCTAAGTGGTCAAACAAGCATGGTTCCTGAGCATGCTCAACAAACAGAGAGCTGTGATTGGCTAGAATGAAAACTGTCTGGGCCAACGGTAGACCTGCATGGCTAGACCATCCTGCAGAGCAAAATCTTTTTGCCACTGCTACGGTTGGTCTAGATTTCTCGGCTATATGAAACATAGCGTGCATTACCTGTAGAGAAGAATGTGATTGGTTTACTTTACCAATTAGACAAACCAGATTTTTTTTCCCCTGCAGCTACAATCTGTGTAATCTTGACGCTCCTGGCTAAGCCTCAGATGTGGACCATGTGTCAGAAGCCTTTACTTTGCCTTTACGTGCCACCACTCATCAACTTGGGAGATAAGCATCTTTCCCCCAGTGTACTCTGAGAACCGAGAATTGGACTGGAACTAGTTTTGCATGCTAAAAAGCAAACAACAGCAAATGGGAAACAGAAAAATCCTCGGGTTATTTGTCATCAAGTTAGCGCAGTATAAATACGTTCCTGCTCTGTTCACGAGAGGCATCTGTTGGGGACTGTTTAGGGTTTGAATCAAAAAGTGTTTTGGCTTGTGCAGAGCAGTAAGCGGAGATGTGCCCTGATGTGGCTTTGTGCTGTCCCCCCACCACTGGCATCAACTTTGGGCTGCTTTGACTTTACAGCCTCACAAGTTAGGAGGTTTTGCGATCGAGCCCAACCTCAAGACACGGAGCTCCTTAAGAAGAGAGCGTCAGAAAGCGGCACATTCCTTCAACCAGGGGGAACCTTGGTCTGGGGGGTTAGGGTGGCTTTTCTCTGGAGGTTAAGTGGGATAAGTGTGTGGCTCATGTCAACCCCACTACCTCCCCCAATAGTTTCTGGAAAATTTGCAATGGGGTCAGATTGGATTACTGTGTTTTGGTATTTACATGGAGACACAGGGCTTTGAAATGGAAAACCATAGGCGGAAAAGCAAGTGCCATGCAGTCTGGAGAGTTTGGTAAAAGAAATCAGAACTCATTTCCACTGACAGGACGGTTGAATTTGTGCCTTTTATGTGTTTCTGTTCCACAATCAGACGTCTGTTGGGACAGAGAATGATGACTGAGGTAAATAGATCAAGTGCAATATAAACCCTTAAATTAAATCCATGGTAAGAGCTGTGATAGACATTTAACAGGAGAGGAAGACGGTTTCAAGCAGC